TCAGTATCACTAGTTATCAGGAAAATGCCAATGAAAACCACAATGAGATACCAAGACGTATCAACCAGGGTGGCTAAAATTTTAAAGACTGACAACACCAAATGTTGATGCGAATGTAATACAATGAGAACTCTCATGCATTATTGATAGGAGTGTAAAATGTACAAACACTTTGGCAAAAAAATCTGTTTATTTCTTATAAAACTAAGTGTATACCTATGCTGTGACTCAGCAATCACATTATCAGGTATTTAGCCAAGAGAAGTTGAAATATGTGTCTACAAAAAGACTTGAATGAGAGTGTTAATAATGGCTTTATTCATAACTGAATAAACTATTCAAAACTGGAAACAGCCCAGGTATTCATCAACAAGGAGAATAGGGGCCAGCCAGCTGGCGCAGCAGTTAAGTTTGCACGTTCTGATTCTCCGCGGCCCGGGGTTCGCTGGTTTGGATCCTGGGTGCAGACATGGCACCACTTGGCAGAAGCCATGCTGTGGTAGGCGTCCCACATGTAAAGTAGAGGAAGATGGGCATGGATGTTAGCTCAGGGCCAGTCTTCCTCAGCAAAAAGAGGAGGATTGGCAGTAGTTAGCTCAAGGCTAATCTTCCTCAAAACAAAACCAAGGAGAATGAATAAACCAACTGGGATGTTCATATAATGGAACACTACTCAGTAATAAAAAGGGACAAACTACTAAATCATGTAACAACACGGGTGAATCTCAAAAACATTATTCGAATAAAGACTTGCACAAAAGCATACTTACTGTATGATTTTATGAATATGATGTTTCTGAAAAGGTAAGACAAAAAAAGGTGAAAAATATTAGAACAATGGGGATTGCTCTGGGCAGGGTGGTATTGGGGATTGACTGGTAAGGGACGTGAGAAACCTCTTTGTGGTGTTAGAAACACTCTATAACTTGATAGGACTGGGTTACACAGGTGTGCACATCTGTCAAAACTCATTGGATGATACACTTAAGATTTATGCATTTTGCTGAGTAAATTTCACCCAAAAAAGTGGACAGCTATCTATCTATCTGTGTGTCTGTCTAAAGGTATGGACTTGTTGTAATGACTGCTATTGGCACACCACAAATTTGTCCCGTGAGCTTTCTATCAGCCTCAATACAAAAGGAAGGTTTACTCTATTGAGGGCTTGTTCTTGTATTTGTTATTGTTTCTTTGCTCTAAATAATAGTGAAAAGCTCCTCTCACAAGCAGGTCATCTGAGGGCCCAAGATTCCTTGTGCCTCTGGGGCTGACGGCAGAGACTGACAGCTTTTGGTCATGATTTCACCGTCTATTTATTGAGTTACTGTTTAGTTACTGTTAGTTATTTGTTGGGTTACTGTAGGAGGAATGTTGTGCTTAGTTCAGGCTCACATGTTTAGTGTACCTGAGCATATCTATAACAATTTATTGTCTTCTTGTCTTTGAAGGGCTGATACACAAAAGGGGAAGCAACGATGTCTTGTGTGGCCCCCAAGAGCTAAGTGAGGACCCAGGGTAGAGCTGCAGTGAGATAGTCAGACTTTGGTCTAGAATGAGGAAAAATCTTCCCATCGCTAATTTCCTCTGGCAATAGGAACTTTTTGGGGAAGTAGAGGGCTCCCGTTCACTGGACCACATTTTTCCAGGGTCTTTCACAACACTGCAATGAAGACGTTGCCTCTGGCTGGGATCTCATCTGAAGGCTTGACGGGGAAAGGGTTTACTTCTAAGCTCGCTTACATAGCTTTTGGCAGGATTCAGTGCCTTGAGGTTTATTGGTCTGAGGACATTAGTTCTTCACTGTCTGCTGGCCAGTGACTTCCTTCAGTTCCTTGCCAAATGGGCCTCTCCAATCTGGCAATTTGCTTCATCAAACCTAGCAAGAGAGTGTATTCTTTTGGTTAGAAACAAATTACTAAAGCAGAAGGGGTTACAATAAGGCCATGAATACCACTAGGCAAGAATCATTGGGGACCATCTTAGAGGCTGCTACCACATTCCAGATTCCACCAACATAGAATGTCTTCCCTGGACTTTGTTTGGTACTGTACCTCTTATTCCATGATGCTTTTCAAACAAATGGCTTGTTGAAAATATCGAATAAATACTCAACCCAAGATCTGTGCCAAGCTCTGTCCCCAAGATGATATTCCCCTTTCTCCCATCCCTTGCCTGTCTCTTCGTGTGTAACTTTTCCTCCATTGTTCAAAGCCTGGCCAAAAACTGCCTCCTCCTTGAGATCTCCCCAGGGCTCTGGGTAGAAGTTCCCCCAAGTGTCCACAGCCATGCCCTTGAACACTTGGTTTAGAAGCATTGTGCCCACAGCTGCTGGTTCTGTAATGCCGTGAACATAAGGTATTCCTAAATAATTCTTATCACGTCAGCTGCTCTTTTCAAGAATTTTAAGCATTTTGAAGTTTGTAGAAGTTCAAGCATGAGATGGAAATGCTTTGCCTGATGTCCTTCAGTGGCCTAAGGGTGGAAAATTCCAGCAGGAACAAAAGAAGGAGAAAAAGAAGTCTTCCTGGAGTGCTTTCAGCATAATTGGATCTTGGGGACATTGTCCCAGAGGTATAAAAAGTTTCCTGATGGTTCCATTTCCAAACTTTTAATCACTTCAGGGGACACAATAATCCCAGTTACAGTGCTGGTTTCAAGTTGCCTTCTACATGTACTGGTGGCTCCTTTGGAGATTTTGCCTAAAACACAGAATCAAGGCAGAGTGGGAAGAACTGGCTTTCATCCCTTCTTCAAGTCAGACGTGGCTCTTAGCCTGGGCCTTTCAAACTAGTATTGCTATTCCTGGCCCCTGTGCTATTTCCAAGTCATAGGGACCCGTTCTCACTAGGTTCCTGAATAAGGTAAGTGAGAATTCTTATAAGAGTAATTGTCAACCTTTTATTAGCCCAGTAAGATTTCCAGCTTCTGAGGATTTTTCAAGGGGACTGGTGCTTGAAAAGGGAAAAAATCAAGCAATTTCAGTGGTATAACAAAGATTGAGGGCCATGCAGATGCCTTTCTTCCTGGGTCAGAAAAACCTAGATGGCAAGAAGCCTATGAAACTTTTCAGTCTCATTTAATGGATTCACTTAATTTCAGAGACAGTCCCAGAAATGAGATGGTCTCAGGGGTTCAGAGCCTCTTCTTGTACAACTCTAGGGAGCTTCATTCACATTGTAGCCATGGAAATGGCAGGAGTTGTACCGGAGTTATGTTCCAGAGGATGCCATTACATTGCCAACAATGTAGACAAAGTTTCATGGAGCTGTGTGCATCGCTGTGGGCTGGTGTCAGAGGGGCTCCCTGGGCCAAGCAGCCCAGACTTTCTGAGCCCTCCTTGCCCACTTCAATAAGAGCAGCTCTGCTTTACATTTGACGATTCTGAATTTAAGAAAACAAAAGTTTTATCTCTTAGAGTTTGAACATCATTGATCTCTACCAGTCCCAGCACAGAATAGGGTAACCTGAGGGTCTAATTGAGGGAAGAAACTACTGAATTCTACACAGCAAATTAGAAGGTTAAATAGAATACAGCCCAAGTCTCTGGGCTTACCGACCTGATGACTTTCCAAAAATTCAATGCAATACCAGAGGGAAGCTGAACGACTACCACATGAACAAGAAAAACTCAGAAAGCTGCCTGCTTGGTTCAATGTGAAGAAGAGTTTTATAATACTCCAGAGCTCTTTAAATATGGAGTACACTGTTTGGGAATGTAGTGAGCTCTTCATCTTTAGAAGAGATCAAGCTGAAACTGAAAAGCCATGCATTAGTGTGGTGTAGAAAAAGCTCTATTATGGGAGAGAGGGTTGGACTAAATTACTTGGGGAGCATAATCAGTGACAGGATGTTAGTCTAGGTGACGTATCCAGCAGCTCAGCCAAAAGGCTCGAAGACTGTTAATGTCCACTGACTCCTGTGTGGACACTCACCCGGAGGAAAGGTGACCCAGTAGTATGATAAGAAAAAAAATCACTGCATTAGTTACCTAAGATAATTAGATTTCCAGAAGCTGTGATCCGCTGCGGGTTTTTGGAGCCAGTCCTCTATCTTCACGGAACATCAGATTCAAACTATTGGGACAGATGAGCATTTCCAGAGCATGAAGTTATCTTGGAGACCTCCCTGCTTTCCCTTGCCTCTCTCCATGTCCAGTCTCCTTTTGTCCATAAATGTACAGCTGGATTCTGTATCACCAAAGGAACCTCCCTTGACCCCTGTTCCCACCAATACCCTGAGTCCTGTTTTGGATGCTCTGGCCTCTCCTGAACCTTCTATTTCCCCTCCCTGCCAGGTTGTGAACCCACTTAAGCCTGGGCTGTGAGTCACCCCTGTTCCTGAGAGGAATTGTCACACCCACGTACTGGGTGATCAACGAGTGTTTGGTGGATAGATGTTCAGACATGGATGGATGGATGGATGGATGGATGGATGGACGGATGGATGGATAATGGATGGATGAATGGACAGATGGACGGATGGACAGACAGATGGATGGAAAGCCCTGGAGTTGGTGTTGCCCATGAGAAAGGAGATCTTAGAAACAACAAGAATATTCTTGCTGTGACAATGCTCTGGAGAGAAGAAATAAAGTGAGCATTCACAACTAATCATTTCACTAGTACCTGGCTCAAAGAGGGAGGACATGGAGCAAACTGCAAGTCACTTTTCTGATCAAAGTTTAATGAGATGAACTGCCCTCTGGGACACAGAACCACTAAGATGGATGTGTTTTGTGTCTTGTCTCTGATCAAATGCATTAAATTGTCAGAATCACCATTTTAAACATTGTAAATTTGAAGTGCTATGGCCCTAAAGTAATTTCTGATTTTCTTGCTCCTTTTTCCTGGAAAGAAATAGAGACTGTGGACTTTCAGAACTGTTTGCAAACCCCTCAGCCTGACTGGAACTCCAGACCAAATGCCCTAGACCTACGCGAGGCAAAGAATGTTGAGTTTGGATCTCTGAGTATTTTCTTCAGTTGAAAGAGGAGACACAACATGGAAAGTGCCAACCAGACTGCCTCCGTGACAGAGTTTATTCTCCTGGGCCTCTCGGCCCACCCAAAGCTGGAGAAAACGTTCTTTGTGCTCATCCTGTCAATGTACCTGGTGAGCCTGCTGGGCAATGGGGTCCTCATCCTGGTAACTGTGTCTGTCTCTCACTTGCACACACCCATGTACTTCTTCCTGGGGAATCTCTCCTTCCTGGACATCTGCTACACGACCTCCTCAGTCCCCCTCATTCTCAACAGCTTCCTGACCCCTGGGAAGACCATCTCCTTCTCAGCCTGTGCCATGCAGATGTTCCTCTCCTTTGCCATGGGAGCCACAGAGTGTGTGCTCCTGGGCATGATGGCATTGGATCGCTATGTGGCCATTTGCAACCCCCTTAGATACCCCGTGGTCATGAGCAAGGCTGCCTACGTGCCCATGGCTGCCAGCTCCTGGGCAGCTGGAAGTGCTGCTTCCATGGTTCAAACATCCCTTGCAATGAAGCTGCCCTTCTGTGGAAACAATGTCATCAACCACTTCACCTGTGAGATCCTGGCCGTCCTGAGGTTGGCCTGTGCTGACATCTCCATCAATGTGATCAGTATGGGAGTGACAAATGTGATCTTCCTTGCAATCCCAGTCCTGTTCATTTTTGTCTCTTACGTGTTCATCATTGCTACCATCCTGCAGATCCCCTCAGCTGAGGGGAGGAAAAAGGCCTTCTCCACCTGCTCTGCCCACCTCACGATCGTGGTCGTCTTCTACGGGACCATCCTCTTCATGTATGGGAAGCCCAAGTCCAAAGACCCGCTGGGGGCAGACGAACAGGACCTTTCAGACAAGCTCATTTCCCTCTTCTACGGGGTGGTGACCCCCATGCTCAACCCCATCATCTACAGCCTGAGGAACAAGGACGTGAAGGCTGCTGTGAGGAACCTGGTAAGTCAGAAACGCTTCACCCAGTGATGTTTGGAGGACAGATGTCCCCGTAGTTCTGTGCCTCTTGGCTGCTCTCACCCACAAATCTCAGAAGAATGTGTCCCGCAAAGAAGATACACCTGAAGAATGATTGCCAGAAAATCAGCTTACACATGTAATGGAGAACTTTGGCTGTTACTGGACCCAAGTGTTAAAAATGATGAAACCTAAAACCTGACGGGAGTGTGACTTGAGAGAAGTGTAATGCTGGTTAAAAAACAAGTAGTGATTTTTCTGATTCTCTAGTGTGCAAATCTGAATTCACTTTTGTGAGAAAGTTGTTCCTTTGTTTTGGGAAAATAGCTTTGCGTAACTTTGTGTTATGTAAAGGTCCAAGATCCTGCTCTGGAAAGGAAGCACTGAAGACAATATGGGGCAAAACGTCATGACACAACAGTATAAAAAATTGTCTTTATTGTAGATGAAATCGCACATCTTCAAATTTTATTTTTCTTGGAGGCAGGGCTGAGATTGGAGATGAGAATGCAGCTGGCATTCTTCCTTTCCCTGAGACTCAGAGGAGTTGGGACCAGGTAGATTTCACGTAAGGCATTTCCTTTGAGGGCAAGTGGGTCAGATCCTGCAACACATGTGTGGGGGATCTCAGCCTGGGAGCACTCAGAGTTTCATTTTTCTTCCCTCAGTAAGTCTTGTTTAAGTTCACAGTCTGGCCCTACAGTCTGGGGAGTTAAAGGATGGACCTGTAGGGGGAAAGCAGAGCGGGGCTACCACAGCAAGCCGAGGGAGGCTGGAGTCAGGATGGTGAGACGTGACCAGCGGAAGTTGGAGCAAGGTGGCTGACTGAGGAGACCTGGATGATAAAAGTGAAAGGCGGAGCCAGTTCACTGTGCACCTGACAAGAGGCCCAGAAGTAAAACGTGTGAGGTTCTCAGGCAGTAGAAACACAAAAGGGAGCAAAGATATTGCGAGGGAGAGAACTTCGAATGTCTCTTTTTCCTTGAGGCAATTAGATGTCCATTTTTTCCTGAGAATCAAAACTTTCTGATGGAGACAAACACTCCTTGCTCAGGTATCCCGGGCTCCTCCTGTCTGGGACGTGGCCTGCCACTCTCTTCAGCCCTGCAGGTGCTCTCCTGCCCATACTGGGCAGAAACGTGCACACCGCTCACTGCTTGTGTGGCCCCTTCAACAGTCTCTCGGGCTGTAGGAGCCCAGGGACGTGTTCCTGTTTCACTTTTCCAAACCTGGTATTATCTGTCCCACGCTGGTGTGAATTCACCTTTTCCTGTTGAGCACAGAGCCCATCTACACCCTCTTATCTCACTATAGAGAGGACGGCATCAACTTGGGATAAATTCCAACCATTTGTAAGTTAAGAATTGACTTAAAAATGAAACATACTTGCAGAACAAAATTTCTCTTACACATACTTCATTTTACTAGTTTTGACTTAGAGGACTGTGCCTGGTTCCCCTCCCAGATCCTTCTGTAGGACTGAAGGACGTGTTCCTCCAGCTGCTGAAGGTGCTACTGGCAGACGGCGTCCAGCTGTCAGACGTCTTCGGGAGTTAGCTAAAGAGGGCTCTGAGCTGAAGACAGCTGACTCACCCAAGGTCATGCCCACTTCTTTGGGACACCCCAGATCCAATGACTGATTGATGGAGGGACATAAATGTCTTGCCACAACTCAGGACAGCTCTGAAGGGCCGTCCCAGGGCCAGAGTTCCCCATGGGGCTGACAGGCCTTTGTTGAGACTGAATCACAGCCCAATTTCCCCCTCTGCCCAATCCCACTTCCTTATCCTCCCCTCCATCAGTGTAGATCCCAAGAGCACTTCCTAATAAACCTCCTGCACCCCCATCTCAGACTCCGCTTCCCAGCAAACCCAAACTGTAACACCATGCAAACTCCAACGCTCAAGTAACACATGTATTCTCTTTTCAGAGGGTTCTCTGGGCACTGGCAATACTTAGCAAGAATCATGGAGAATTGTCGGGTGAGGCAGCATAGTGCAGTGTTAGCAACAGAAGCTTTGGAACCAGATCGTGGTTGGATTCCAGCTCCTGTACTTACCGTGGTTATAACCTTGAACTTTGCTTTCTATTGTAGATAATTTCTATGAAATTGGCCTGCCACCTCCCACCCTGTCCACCTCCCTAGTTCAGTGTTTCCCAATCTTTTTCTTGCCAGGGAACTCAGAGAAAATAATGGGATTTGTTTGGCAGCCTGTGGTAAGTGGATGAGTCTACTCACGGCTGAAGGCACTTCACCTGGGAGCTTAGGTCATACATGTCCTGCTTAGTGGCCCCAGGGGGATTCTGAGCTTGGCATGTCTGGAGTCTGTGGCATGTTGGTTAGAAAGCCCTGCCAGAGGCAGAATGTCTCTTCCTTTAGCACCTGATTAGAGGAGAGTCATGCCCCTTCTCCTGGCCACAGATAATTGGACACTTGACCCAAACTGGGCTGATCATATTTTCTCTCCAAGGAATTTGGAATTTGGATATAGAGACCCTTGTTAGTTGGCATAGGGCTCTTGAACTGAGAGACCACATAAAGCCAGGGTTGATGTGACCATGTATCTTGCAAGAGAGAGAAAGCTGGTCTACAGAGAGAGATGACAATCAAATGCACAAAGAGAACTATACTCGTGAAAACAGAAATACAGGGTGCAATACGTGAGCTAAGACTTGGAGCAATCCTTTTCACTTTATTTAATGGGAAAATTTAAACCTGTGGAAAAGTAGAGAAAATAATAAAATAGATTCTTAGACATTCATCTCCCAGATCCAATGATGATGTACTCGTGGCCAATCTTGTTCATTGATACCCCCATGGATTATTTCTCCCTCTCCTGGATTATTTTGAAACAAATCCCAGATGATCATAACATTTCATCCTTAATCACTTCAGTAGTTATCTCTAAAAATGATTACTACTTTGGTAAGATACAAATAAGTTACCATTATCATACCTAAAACTCAACAGTAATTCCTTAATATCATCAATTATCCAGCATTTGTATTTCCCCAAATGTCTTATAAATGCTTTAACTGTTTCAATGTGTTTATTTGAACCAAAATCCAAATGACTATACACTATGATCAGTCTCTTTTAAGCTATAGTTCTGTCCACCCCTCCCTCTTGGTTGACTTTTTTGGTAAGGAACGGTTTCCCACTGTGGGGAACTGTGGAGTTTGCCACAGTCTGCATTTTACTGACTACAGTCCTGTGAGTCTGTCCCTGTCTTGCCTGTAAATTGGTGATGAAACTTGCAAGTTTTTGCTTTAGCGTGCATGGCTCCTGAGGTTTTTTGACATGACCCTAGTATCTTTGATGGCTTCCTGGCTTCCTGGTATGTCCAGATGTTTCAGGCTCAACAGTTCCTCTCCAGACCTGGAAAAAACCGTTTTTTCTCAGAAGCTTTTGTTTCCTGGAGTGGAGAATAGTTATTTAGAAACCACAATTTGGGTGCTAGGGGTGCTACTGAGTTTATTATAGTTTCAAGGCCTTTTCAGTCAAAAGAGCTAGGAAATATATATGTTTCCTATATTTGAGTTGTATGGATAGATGGATGATGTATACATCCATATGTACAAATCAGAGTAAGATCTACAGAATTTCTACTTAACCTTATTGATTTCATACCTGCATCTCCTTCTTTCATGTACTATCTCCTCATTCCAGAAAAGTTTGGAGAGGGCTTAAAGTTACACCAACATAACAAGATGTCAAGAGCTACTGTGGGCATAGTTCCTGTAAAGAGTAGAAGTGAGTCAGTCCTGGTGATGTGTGCCCTGACTCTCATGTGCCTGGAAATATTGGGGCCAGTCATAACGTCTGAGGCAATGGTAGGGGCCCTCCTCCTCTTCTGCTTGTTTCTGAGCTTTCCACAGGAGATCCAAGCCCACAAGTGGAGTACTGGGGGGTGACAGGCTGGGGAAGAGTTGCAGGAGAAACCCAACTGGGGAGAGAGAGACTCCAATCTGGAATCTCAAGGCATCTTGCAGCCCAGGGGTGACTTTCTAAAACCTCAATGAGGGCAGTCCCTAGCCCCTGTTTGCCATGGGTGGCCTCTGGCAAAAAAGGACAGACAAAAAGGAAGCTGACAGATCTCCTCTGAACGGGGCTAGAAGTCCTGAATTCTGCAACCCTGCAAGATAGATGGTTTCAGTGTTTGAGCCACTTATAAAAGGGAGATTTGTTGAGTATTTGGAAGGCTGGAATCATAGCCAGAAGCTAGGTATCTGGGGGTCAGTGGTCTCCCAGGATTTAAAATCACATTTCTTTACAATTTACACTACATGTTTATTTATTTAGGAAGTATATAGACATTCTACTGTACCAATATGTTATGCACATTATAAAATGTTTACAAAAATAGAAATAAAAAAGATGGGATGAAGATAAAATAAAATACAAAAAGGAAGAGCCAACATGGGGCAAAGAAGAAAACAAAGGTAGGTCACAAATTCATTTGTTCATTAATTCAGCAACTATTTATTGAGTGTCTACTGTGAGCCAGGTCCAGTTTTTGTACTTAGGACCCAGCTGTGAACAACGGGTGAAAAACTCCTGCCTCTGTGAAACTGACATTATAGCAGGAGGGAAACAGACAAGAAACAATGACTAAAATAAATAAGAAAATAATATGGATATTAGAAACTGCACGAAATCAGGACTGAGGCATAAATGAGGACTGAACATATGCGTCTAATTTTGCTGCCTCCTGAAACTCATGAAATCTACAGTAAAGTTTTTTTGTTTTATTTAATGTTTTTTAAATTAAGGAGAAGAAGGGAGACATCAGAATGATGATATTTTCAAGGCTGCAAGTTGGATGGACTAGTGGCAATTTCCATAGCAGGTCAGACAGAGCCAAATCCTAAGCCAGAGACTAAGAGAGCTGAACAACAACCATATCTCCAGCACATAGGAACTCACTATACCAGGTCCCTCTACGACCAGGGGTGAAGGAGGCACTGCCAAAATAAGAAGGATTAGGATTAGGTAAAAAATGTATAAGAAA